CATTATTTCGCCCACTCACGCTCAGACTCACTCGCATTCGGTCTAACGCACTCAGACTACTCACACTCCGATATACTGAGACTCAACCTTGCCAAATTTCCGAACACTCTGTCGCTAGTGCCAAGACCCATTCACACTCGCTTCTCTTCCCCAAGACTCGCCCATGCTCACCGCGATATTGCAAGTATTGCACTCGATCACATCAAGGAGGGGCCGCCTCGAGCGGGGGGGGGCATTGAATTCATATGCGCGCCCCGGGAAGGGGAGGGGACTGACCGACACTCAGGATCGGCCGAACGACTCAGGATGGAGGGAGCCTAACGACTCAGGATCGGCCGACCGACTCAGGGGACCGAGGGGCCCAGGAGGGAGGGGCCCGAACGACTCAGGAGGATGGGGAGGAAGGTTGGATGGCTGGATGGTTGGTTGATGCTCGTATGGTTGGTTGATCGATTGGCCTGTTAGCTGCTAGCCGCGTTACTGACTGGCTGGTTGAGATGCGCATCGGTCGGCTGGTTGTGTTGGTTGGGCAACTTGGCAAACATGGGCCATGGGCCTCTCGAGATTCAGATGTGTTGAGAGTTGTTTCGTTTGGCTTGTTTGGAATGTTGTGGAGCGAGGCGAGTGCCACCGCGCGACACGCGGTACGTCGGCTTGGAACTCTGGCACCAGGACTCTCTCTGAGGCCGTCCGCCGCCCGCCCCCCCCGAAGCCCTCGGCCGACGATCCGTGCGAGGGGTGAGGCGGGATGGGCGAGCTCCCTGGCCTCTCTCCTAATGGGCCCCTTGGGGTACAGGGTGTCTGGGGGGCTCCCTGCGGCTCCGATGGGGCCCAGCGGGGTTCTAGAGGGACTTCTGGGAGGGCGTCTTGGGTGGCCCCTTGGGGGTCTTGGGTGGCATTTGGCCGGGCCTCGAGGGAATCATGGCTGGGCCGTCCAGGGGGGCCCCTGAGAGGACCTCAGGAGGCTTCTAAGAGGACCTCCAGGCTTCTTGGGCGTCCCTACTTCTCCTCCTCGGGCACCGTCGGGGGTAAAAGGCATGGGAAGCCATGTCAGTCTGGCGACCACGGGGGTCGTGGGAAGGGCCCTTTTTTATTTTATTTTTTTCTCTCTCTCTCTCTCTCTCTCTCTCTCTCTCTCTCTCTCTCTCTCTCTCTCTCCCCCCCCCCCCACAAGGGGATGGGAGGGGCCCACCCCGCCTCGCTGCACCCCTTCGGGGTGTCAGTGCCCCGTGGCCCTGACCAGCTTTGAGCCGCTGCCGCCAGCAGGCTTCTCCCCCACTCCGTTCCCTTTGTCCACCTTCCGTGTGGAAGGTGGACAGAGGGGGGCGCCCTTCCGCGCCCTCCGTTCGGAGGGGAAGACGGGGCCCAGGAGGGACGGCCCCTCCCCTTACGGGCACTGCGCCTGAGGGGGCCGCGGGGGAGGAGGAGCCTCGCCCTCCTTTCGTTTTGCGTGGGAAGATTGCGCGTTCTGACCAACCTTGCAAAGGCGAATCCAGTAGCGGCGACGAAGGAGCCCCTGGAACCCGAAAAGCGCCCACCTCCTCCTCTTCCTCCTCCTTCTTGGGGCCCGAAGTATTCAACAGGCTCACGCCGTTCCGCCATGCCTCTCGGCACGCTCCGCCCCCCCTGGCGCTTACGAGTGGCGACAGTTGCGCATGTGGCAGCCCGCGGGCGGCGTTTCGCTGGCTGGTTGACTGGCTGGTGGGCCTCGTGGCAGTGCGGTTGGTGTGGCTGGTTGGTTGTCTGGCTGGTTGGTTATCTGGCGTGGTTGGCTGGCTGGTTGGTTCTATGGTTGGTTGGTTGGTTTGCTGTCTGGCTGTATGGCTGGTTGGGTTGCTTGGCTGGTTGGTTATCCAAGAGGCTTGCGCCATTCCGACGTGCCTCCCAGCATGCTCCGCTCCCCCCCATCCGCCCCCAAAGTGGCGACGGTTGCCCGTGTGGCAGCCCTCAGGTGGCTTACAGCTGGCTGGTTGCACTGGTTGGCTGGTTTCTGACAGCGGCCGCCCGCTTGTTTGCGCTGGTTAGCTTGGTTGGGTGATATGTGGGGCGCGCCGCTCTGCTAGGGTCGCGTTCGGCTCGTTGGTTGCGCTGGCTGGTTGGGCGAGACCCACTGGCTTGGGGCTTAGGGCGCAAGCTCAGGGCCTGAGACTTCCAATCACGCGGCCTGTGCACGCCTGCGGCCTGCGGCCTAGAGCGCGCGGCGCGCGGCCTGGGGCTTCAACGCCCGCGGGTGGCATGCTGGCTAGCGCTCGAGCGCTGGGGCATAACCCATAGTGCGCTTACGGCCAAAGGCTCGCGGCTCAGGGCTGCAACGCCCAAAACATCTGCGCGCGCGGCCTTTGCGCCCGCGGCCTGCGGCTCATGGCCCGAGGCGCATACGATCGTTGCTTATGGCTGGCGGGGTGCCGCGGGGAACCCGCGGAGCCCCGCGGACTACCGCGCTCGCGGATTGCGGCATAGGGCTCGCTGCTCGGATCACCGAGCCTCGAGCACAAGGCTGTTGGGCGCAGGGGGGTCGGGCTTCAGCGTCCACGCCCATGGCTCGGGGCATGGGGCGCAGGGCGCAGTGCTCAAGGTTTACATTCCAGGGCCTCGGGCTCAGGGCTCAGGGCGTAGAACTTTGGCATTCGGACTTGAGGCGTCGGGCGTCGTGTTTAAGCCATGCGGAGTCTGGCCTCGGGCGGTGGGTTTCGAGCGTCGGGCTCAAGGCCCACGGCGTTCGGCCCAGGGCACAGGGCTCAATGCTTGCGGCCTGGAGCTGCGGGCTGAGGGCGTCGGGCATCAAGTCTATGGCTGAAGGTTTGAGGCTCGGGGCTCGGGGCTTAACAACATGTGGCTTCTGACTGTGAGCATGCGGCTTGGGCACTGCAGCCCCGCGCGCAGGGCCAGAAGCCCAGGGCGCTACTCAGTATGCCTAGGGCCTGAGAGGCACGGTGCGGTGCTAAGGGCATCGGGCTTGGGGCTCTGGGCTCTGACCTTCGAGCATAAGGTTTAAGGTTCGGTAACTGCCAGGGCTTGCGGCGTAGGGCGTAAGGCCTGGGGGCCCGCTGCGGCTTTCGATGCAGCGGGTGGCGCGACCTAGTCGACGCCTGCTCTACTCTGCGTCCGTCAAGCGGCCAATTGCGCGATCGTCCTGGGGCCGCAGGGGCGTCGCCGATATGGCAATCCCTTCAGTGGGCGCGCGACGTGGGCACGTGGCACGAGCCGCCCAATCCCGCGGGCGCAGCGGCGCTGCGTCGGATCACCTACTTTCAGCACGCGCAAGGGGCGGGACCAACCGCCAACCACGACATGGAATACGCGCCGAAATTCAGCGCGTACCTTGGACACGAGCCGAATTACCGCGCAGAATTTAAGTGAATTTCGCTACTTGTTTTGACGTAAATTTAAGTCGACCGAGGCAGGGGATTTAAAGTAAATTTGTACAGGTTTAAAGTAAAAGCGTACGAATTTAAAGTAGCGAGCCCAGGACGTACCTAGGACGTACTTCGGGACGTACTCGTGAACGTACTCCTGAACGTACCTCGGACGGGCGAGGTATTTCGCAACGTACTTCTGAACGTACCTCGGACGGGCGAGGCATTCGGCAACGTACCCTTGAACGTACTTACTAGTCGACGTGTTATGCTACTCGTATTTACGATTTGTCAGTACAAGAGTGTCACATTTTCGCAAAGTCCCCCCCCTGGAGCCCGAAATTTTGCAACGTACCCCCCCCCCCCTGACCCGCGCGCGCCCTCAACGATGACATCCATCTCCGCTGCAGAGCCCACCCTGCGGCCCGCCCAATGGGGCTTGCTGGGGGCCAAAGGCACCGCAATTGAATGTATTGGGATGCGAAATCGCGCGGTGCCGTTGGCCGAGCGCGCGCGACTGGGGCGGCCTGGGCCCGCAGCTGGGCTGGGGGATGGGGGCGGCGTTGCGTTGGCGAGAATACAGCGGCACCGCCCGCGCGAGGGGGGGGCGACTGCGCGAGCGTCTGGGCGGGGTGGGCGCGCGCGCAAATGCGCGAGAGCGAATGGGGCCGCGGTGCGCCTGCGAATTAAGCGTTGCTGTCGGGGGCGGGGGCCGCGGCAGACGAGACCCCCTCGGCGGGGGATGCCCCAGCTGCCGAGCGCGGAGGGGTGAGGGGGGCGGTGATGCGCGCGAATCGGGCTGTTCGGGCAGAAGCTCGAGGCGCCATGCCTTTCGCGCCGACGGGGCCGCGGCACAGGTTGGGCCGATGGCGGGGCATTCGGCGCGCCTGGGGGCGCCAAACTCGCGCTGTGACGCGCGCGCCGTCTACGGCAATGCCAACCCAATTGGAGTCTTCTAGGCTGGTCGCGCCAGGCGGACCCCCCTCCTTTCCTCCAAACTGGCCGGAGACCCTGGGGGAAGGGGAAATTGTCGCCGAGGAGATCAGTTAAGGGGTCAGCAGATTTTTTGTCCCGAGAGCCCCAGAGGTCTCGACGCTGTCAACGGGGCTGGTCTCCTGGCCAGGGCTCGTTCGGGACGGGCCCCAGGGCCAGCTGCCGAAATGATGCAACAGACGCTGGGATTGGGGCGGGAGGCGGGCGAGACGCGGGCCTGGGCGACCCAGCAGTCGGGACAGCAGTGCGCAACGCCACGCGCGAGGGAAAGGAAGAGAAGATGGCGGGAGGGAGGGTCGGATTCCAGGGGGAGGCCGAAAGGGAGGAACAACAATTGTCTCGATTTGTTTCGCGAGGTCCAGAGGTCTGGGGACTGGGTCGTCGTCGCTGTCGTCGCGGTCGCACGTCTTCTGTCATCATCCGTTCAAGATCGATACCCGGGCCTCTCCCGGGGTCCATCCTGGCCAGTTCTCCGGGTCGCGTCCAGCCATGGCGACGAGAAGTTCCAGGAACCCAGGACACTCAAATCGAAATCGGCGTCCGTCGTCGTCGTCGTCGTCGTCCTCGCGTCGTCCTCGTCGTCGTCGTCGTCGTCGTTGTCGTTGGTCGTTGGTCGTCGTCGTCGCCGCCGTCGTCGCCCGTCGCCCGCAGGCTTCACGCCCTGGTGGTGGGGCCCGGGCTGGGCCGCAAGCCGCAGGTCCTGCGAGGGAGGAGGAGGAGGAGGAGGAGGAGGAGGAGGAGGAGCAGCAGCAGCAGGAGGAGGAGGAGGAGGAGGAGGAGGAGGGAAGAGAGAGAGAGGAGGGAGGATTAGGGGGAGCAGGAGGGAAGGGAGGAGGAGAGAGGCTCAAGGAGGAGAAGGCGGGAGGAGGAGAAGGACGGGTTCCTCCTCCTCATCTGTCCCCTCCCTCCTCCCTTGCCATCCCTCTTCCTTCCTGAGGGCCCGTCCTCATAGCACCTTCATCGCACCACCAGGCGTGTCTTTAGGGCGCGCTGTGCGTTTCGCCGGTCACTCCCTCGCCAATCATGGCCACGAATATTGGCATCTCATTAGCTACAAGGATGGAGGGCAGCCCGTTTTCATCATGTGTCTCTCGTCGTAGCGCCGCGCACTTTCGTATCAAACACTTCCCAACATCTGCAAGGATGGAGGGCGGCCCGTATGCAGCGTGTGTATATCATGTCATACCTCATCAGTTTGTATGACCATACATTTCAAGTTATTCAGCAGTTCAACGGACGAGATGCGCCTCCTTTTTCAACATGGTGCCTTCAGTGGAGATGTCCGTGCTTGATCGAAGACGGCTACGGCAAAATACAGCCTCACCTTGCCGCACCATCAGAAGCCTCCTAAGCCCGCTGCCTGCGTCGTCGAGAGGCGTTCCCCCTAGGCCCCGACCGCCGCCTCAAACTGCAGCAGGCGACGGCGCCAACCCACCACCTGAATCTCTTCCTCCCAGCGGCTCAGACGACGACGCTGAGACAGGCTCTGACGACAGCAGCATACTGATGATCGCCAATGCGGTCGCCAAGCGGAGCTCCAGCAGCCACATCTACACGCTGCTGATGATGGGCAACAGAGGGCCCCAGTGGTTTCTAGTTCTTCGAATGCCCTGAGAGAGCTTTGGGGGGTTGCCAGTAAACATTTTGAACACGCGCTGGAGGGCGTTTTGGGGCTCTGGGGCGCTCTGGAAATATTCTAGAATGCTCTGGTCCTGGGGCATCCCAGTGCGGTCCAGTAGAAGGCTCCAGGTCGCTCCAGGAAGTTCGAGAATGCTGCGAACAACTTCGAAACTCTTGGGGAGCACCTGGAAGGCTCGAGTGCTCGAGGTCCCCGCAAGGCACCGCAATGCTTTCGAGAACCTGAAGGGCTCGATGCTACCCATAAGGGTTTCCAGCGCGATCCAGGAAGTTGCGAAAGGATTGTATAATGCCCCAGAGGGCTCTATGTAGATCCAGAGGGCATTCTGGTGCTCTCGAATGCCCTCGGAGACATTTTATGCGGCTCTAGGAGGCTCTGGAATGGTTTTGTCTGCATCGGAGAACTTTCGAATCCTCTCGAGGTTCTAGGGGGCACCCAACAGCCTCTCGGGTGCCCCCATGGCCTCTCGGGAGTTCCAGCGGTGTGGGGCAAACGCTAGGGGCGCCAGAGGGCTGTGATGGGTTCTAGATGAACTGGGCTAGGTGGCATGACAGGGTTCTCCGAAGCCCCAGAGGGCCCATGGCTGCAACCCAAATGTGTTAGACAACGCTGTTGGGCTCTACAAAACCCTGGGGTGTTTTAGGGGATTCTAGAACGCGCGGGGGGGCTCAAACATGTTCTAGAGTGCTTCGCAGGGCTCCGGGGTGCTCTAGCAGAAGTCTTGCGGGGGAGGGGTGGCTTTAGAAGTGGTGGGAATGATGTGGAAGACTTTAGGGAGCCCGGGGAGGACATGGAAGGCCTGAGTGTTCGAGGACCTGGCAGGACACCACAATGCTTTCGACAGTCTAGAGGGTATCCGACATCTGTGTCGGGCGTCCAGACTGATCCAGGAGGTTGTAAGGGGCTTCTGTTGTAGGAAGTTCTAGACAGATCCAGAGGGCGCTCGTGTGCTCTCGAATGCCCTTGGGGACCCTTGATGCGGCTCTGGAAGGCTCTGAAATGGTTTTGCCTGCATCGGGGGACTTCCGAACCCTTTCCAGTTTCCAGGAAGTACCCAACAGACTCGGGTACCGCCGTGAGTTCCCGAGAGTTCTAGAGGTTTGGGACATACGCTATGGGTGCCACAGGGCCGTAGTGGTTTCTAGACAGTCGAATATTGTAGATTAGTGTTGTAGGCACTGCGACTGGGCCCTACGAAGCTCCAGGGGTGCTCTAGAGGGCGAGGGCGGAGGGATAGGAGGCGGAGCAACAGCTTTTCGTTTCTCCCCGCCCCGCGCCCCCCCATCCCCCAAAACAAAGAACTCATTCACACACGCACACACACGCACACACACACACATGCAAACACACAGACACACACACACACACACACACAGACACGCGCGCGCACACACACGCACACACTTTTCATCTGCGGGGCGAGAGCGAACGCCTTCCGCTAAAAGCTAGGCGGGCAACGCACAGCTTTAATTAGGGAGACAGGGCACAGGAAGGCGGGGCCTCAGGCGGCCGGAGCGCCACACACACACACACGCACACACACACACGCACACACACACGCACACACGCACACACGCACACACGCACACACACACACAAACACACGCACACACGCACGACACACGACACACGACACACGACACACGACACACACACACACCAAACAGCGCAACCCGTTTTTCTATTCGGGGCAAGGGGCGACCAAAAGGGGCCTTGCAAGGCTGTGGGGTGCTCCAGAGTGCAAAGGCGGAGGGATAGGAGGAGGCGGGGTAGCAGTGTTTCGCTTCTCCCCGCCCCGCCCCCCCCCCCCAAGCAAAACAACACACAAACACCAGAAAGTTTACATCAAAAGAATACGCAGCCCGCCAGTTTTGTTAAATGTGTGTGTGTGTGTGCTCAGGGGGCGACCAAACAAAAGAGAGTGGATTCTGCTCCTTCGATGATCGCAGCCGATGCAGGGAAGAAGGAGGAGAAGGAGGAGGAAAAGGAGGAGGAGGAGGACGACGGAGACGAACAGGACGAGACGGAACACGCAAAAGAGCATGCAGAGCATGCGCGCGCACCGACACAAACGCAATCAACGACGCACGCGCGAACTCGGTTTGAAAGCCTCGCGCGCGCGCCCCAACACTGAGGGACTCCACAATCCCCTGTTTTCGAGAAGGAGGAGGGAAACAACGCAGGGCACGACGTCTGGAGGGGGGCTGGACTGCACGCCCTCGGGTGGTGTGGCCACCGGGAGGAGGAGGAGGAGGAGGAGGAGGAGGAGGAGGAGGAGGAGGAGGAGGAGGAGGAGGACCACTGCAACTTAGACTCATCAGCGATTTTCGAATACACCTCCCCTCGAATTAGACGTTCGCTAGAACAGCAGGTTCCCCCACCTCTCGCAGCCTCTCCTTTGCTCAAGTATTTCCTCCCTCTTCTCTTCCCTCCTGCTCAAGGGCACCTGCGGTGCCCAGTGTTTTTTTTCGGGGTGGGCGGGCGGGGCCATAGCTCGCTGGCCCAGCTTGCGGCTCGGCCAGGCATTCTGAGGAGTGCTGGGTAGTGACCGGGCCAAGTCCCCCCTCCAGTGCGGGCGAGAGGAGAAAAGCCCCGCGGTTCGCGCCGGTCGCCGCAGCGAATCACCCGCGGCCCGAGGGAAGAGAAGGCCGAGAGGAGGTGTCGGCGATGCGGCATGTCTCCCTCGAGTACATCATCTCCACGGCGTTGGTGGCCACGTTCGGGTGGGTAGACGCGTCCCCGGGCGCGGGACTGTCGGCCGCCTTCTCGGCTTCCGCCAGCTACTCGCCGGGGCCGAGCGAAGGCCACGCGCGACAGGAGCCAGGCGCCGCGATCTACATTGGCGCTGAGAAGGCGCACGAGAGTCGCACCGACTTCGAGGCGCATTTCTGCCACGGTGCAAGCTGCGCAGAAAGTGCTGCGGAAGGCCAGCCAGCCGACCCCGCGCTGCCCGCAGGGACGGAGCAGCAAGAGGATGCGGCGGCGCCGCGGCTCGAGGCACCCCGGACCACGGGCCCGCCGCCAGCCATGGCCGGCTCGAGTGGGCGCGCCACCAGCTACGGGGAGCACTACTACCTCGCGCGCTGCTACGAAGACGGGGCGGCGCCGAGCCCACCCCCAGCGGAGCAGCGCGCGGCGCCAGCGGCGCCCGGACCGCTGCCAGAGGAGAGGGCGACGCTGAGGGAGTCGGAGCGACCTCAGGCGGGCGAGCAGCAGCCGCCCGCGCCGCTGCGGCGCCCGGCTGCGGCTACGCCGCGATCGATTGGCAACGCCGCCCGCGGGCAGCCCGCGTCGGCGCCTGCCGCTTCCGTCGCCAGAGGAGCGGCCAGCCGGAGGTGTTCCCTCCTGCTCAAGAGCACCTGCGGTGCCGGGTGTTTTTTTTCGGGGTCCCACCCACCCGCGCCGTACATGAAGAGGTGGCGCGGGGCCCCAGCCGAATTTTTTCGGCCGCGCTCGCCGCGTAGCGTTTGGTGCGCCGGCCCCGGGGGGCCAGAGGCCCGCGCAGCGCGAGGCCGGCGGCTGAAGGACAGTCGCGGGCGCCCACAGGCCATGAGAAAAGGCGTTCCTCCTCCTCCTCCTCGCTTAGCGTCTGAGGAAAAGGAGGTGCGGAGGAGGAGGATGATGGGGGCGGCCTGAGGGCCCCGGCGTGCCAGGCGAGCCTAGGGGGCCCGATCCGCCTTGGCCCCGAGGCGTTGGGGCAGCGGGGAAACGCTCCCCTTTTCATGGCCCCCATACAAAGATGAACTTTCACTCAGGGAAGTGCACCGTTGGGAGCATACCGTTTGGAGATCCTGAAGCGTACCAGAACACGAATTTCGAATCTTCAACGCCACGAATATACTTGATTGTTGCGCCTTGGCGATCTTGGGACTACACCGCGATTCCTGGGACTACACCGCGAATTCACTTACGTTGCGTAATTAGTTTCGCCATGACAATCTCGAACCGTTCCAGAATACGCTTCTAGGACGTTAACCATGGGAGCCCGAAGAACTCTTCAACATATTGAAAACGAATGTGCGCGGCGTTGAAGCGAGAGCTACATGTTGAAAATAAAACCGCCCTGCGTCCGTGAAGCTCCTGTATGTCGTTAAGACGAATGTGCGCGGCGCTAGAGCGAAAGCCACATGTTGAAAACAACCCGCCGTCAATCCGCGAAACCCTTGCACTGTTGAGTGTGAACAGCGGTCAGGCGAGAGCCACATGTTTGAAACGACCCGTTCACCATGTATGAAGCTGTTGCCAGTCTCTATGCTTCATGACCATATACGGCAAGGGCGTCTCAGGCGAAACGCCTGGCCCACCCTTCCGACTGGCTTCGGGGTGCGACGTGGAGGAGTTTAGAAGGAAAAGAAGCGAAGGAGGAGGAGGAGGAGGAGGAGGAAGAGGAGGAGAAGGAGGAGCCGGGGGGGAGGAGGGGGGGAACAAAAACACAGCAGGACGTCCGGATGGGGGCCAGGCCGCACGCCTTCGGTGGTGGGGCCCCAAGGGAGCGGGCAGCCGCTCGCAGCCCGAGGTGCTGCGCGGCGCCGCGAGGGCGGTGGAGCGGGCCGCCGCCGCGGGGGTGCCGGTGGTGGTGGACGCAGGCGCGGCGCGGCGCGCTCGTTCGGCGGGGCGGGCGGGAAGCCCAGACATCCGACGACCCGAAGTTCGAGGTTCGATGGTCGTCCCGAACGGCCGCCGCTGGCCCGAGTTATGACCGAAAGTTCGAGAACCTGGATATCTGGCGTCGCAAGTGTGTACAACGGGCGGGGCGATCCTCCTCCCTTCCGTCTCTCTCCCCCACCTTGTCTTCCTCCGCCTCCCTCCGCCTCGTCCCTCTTCCTCCGAATCGTGGTGCCGATCGCTTGATCCGAGCCCGCGGGTAGGTTCGTGGCTGTGGAGGCCCCGAGCGCTCAGCCAGAGCGCGCAGTCGCCTCCCTCCCCGTCCTCCGCCTCACCCTCCCCTCCTTCTCCCAACGCCCGGGTCTGTTGGGAGGCTCGGGCCGAATTCGCGCATGAGGAGCCTGGGGCCCCAACGACAGCCCGTGGGCCAGGCCTCCTATGGTCCGCCAGGCCGCCGAGTCGCCTCAGATCCTCCTCTGGTCCGCTCTGGGCTTCGGTAGGGCTGATCGCATCAGACCACAAGCTACCAACCGTTCCTTGAATTTCCTTGTCGCTGTCTACTCTTTGGTCCTCTCCCATTTGCTAGGTCCGCCTTCCATTGTTTGTTGGTGCGATATACAGCCGCGGGGGGCTTATACCAGTCTGTTTGTCTTGTTTCCGCCACCTCTCTCTCCTTCCTCTTTCTCGCCTTCCCCTCTTCCTCAAGTACCTGCGCCAACGTAGGCGGCTGGGATTTTGAACAGTTTCCACCACGGCCAGGTGTAGCAGCTTGTTGGTGCTAGTCTTTGTCAGGCAGTGTTTCGCACAGTGTCGAGCGTGGCCGACACACGGCAGCGAGAGTCTGGTCGGGCAGGGCCTCAGGGTCCACCTCACGGGCCCTTTGAGGAAGCCACTGAGTCGGTGTGAGCTGCTCTGCCGGAGCGTATCAGGGGGGGAAAGAGTGTTGTACAACAGGCGATTCAGCCTTGTTTCGGTCCCCAGGACCCTCACGGATCGATCTGACTCGAGAAATGCCGCCAACAAAAATGGGGTCCAGGACTGGGGCCGTCGGATCAAGACGTCGGAACTCACGGGAGGAGAAGGCAGAGGAGGAGGAGGCGAAGTCGCAAAGGCGGAGGCGATGGCGGAGGCAGGGGCAGAGGCGGGGAAGGGGGGCGGCACCTCGCGGGGGGGGGTCCTGCCTGTGCGTGCGTCCCACAGGCCTCGCCTCCTGGGCAGTCCGCGCGCCGTGCCGCCTCCTCGGCGCGTCACGGCGGCGAGCGGGCGCGGGCGGTCGAGGTCTCGGAGGCCCCCATCGGTAGCATGCGGGCCCACGGCTCCGGAAACCATGACCAGTGTCGTCGCCAGCAGGCAAGCAGCGGGGGTCAGCGCCAACGGGGCTCAGCCAGAGCGCCGGATCTTGCAGGGTCTTGCAAAGCCAGGTTTGGGCTGAGCGGGGTTGGGAGCCGCTCGCGGCCCTGGAGGTGGCCTCACACATTGGGGGTGAGTTGGGTTTGAGACGCCCCCGAAACAAACATTGAATCATGGCATAAACATGAATTGTCAGCGGTCCGTCCAGATGTCTCGGATCGGCGCTGGAGCCCCCTGATGGCGCCTCCGGGGCCGCCCTTGGCGCGCTCCGCGAGCCAGGGAGGGGTCCAGCGCCGATCGATGAAATCAACGCGGACCTCCGATGCTTTGTATCTTTTTCCCAACCCTCCTGTGTTGGGTTCTCGTTTGAATACAGCAGTGCGGTCGCCCCGCCCTCCTTCCTTCTTCCTCCTCCACTCTCCTCCCCTCCTCCTTCTCTCCTGCGAAGCCGTCGGCACTTTCGTGGGCTCCTGGGAGGCCCAGCGGAGGTACGTCATACGCGGACCACCACTATAGCTCGCGGTGCCCTGGGGGGCTGCGATCTGCGAAGCCGTCGGCACTTTCGTGGGCTCCTGGGAGGCCCAGCGGAGGTACGTCATACGCAGATGACCACTATAGCTTGCGGTGCCCTGGGGGGGGCTGCGATCTGCGAAGCCGTCGGCACTTTCGTGGGCTCCTGGGAGGCCCAGCGGAGGTACGTCATACGCGGACCACCACTATAGCTCGCGGTGCCCTGGGGGGCTGCGATCTGCGAAGCCGTCGGCACTTTCGTGGGCTCCTGGGAGGCCCAGCGGAGGTACGTCATACGCGGACCACCGCTATAGCTCGCGGTGCCCTGGGGGGCTGCGATCTGCGAAGCCGTCGGCACTTTCGTGGGCTCCTGGGAGGCCCAGCGGAGGTACGTCATACGCGGACCACCGCTATAGCTCGCGGTGCCCTGGGGGGGCTGCGATCTGCGAAGCCGTCGGCACTTTCGTGGGCTCCTGGGAGGCCCAGCGGAGGTACGTCATACGCGGACCACCACTATAGCTCGCGGTGCCCTGGGGGGCTGCGATCTGCGAAGCCGTCGGCACTTTCGTGGGCTCCTGGGAGGCCCAGCGGAGGTACGTCATACGCAGATCACCACTATAGCTCGCGGTGCCCTGGGGGGGCTGCGATCTGCGAAGCCGTCGGCACTTTCGTGGGCTCCTGGGAGAGCGGAGGTACGTCATACGCGGACCACCACTATAGCTCGCGGTGCCCTGGGGGGCTGCGATCTGCGAAGCCGTCGGCACTTTCGTGGGCTCCTGGGAGGGCACAGGAGGCCCGTGGCGTCAAGCCAGGAGCAAGCAAGCACGAGGACTTCCCCAGGCGCACCGCTCTTGCTTTCCAGGAGGCTTGTGCCGAGACGCCTGGCGCCACTGGCCTGCGCCGTCTGCGCCTGCTGAAGGAGTGCATGGCTTCGGTCTCTCGGCATCTGTGCGCCGACGCGGGGCGGCGGGAGCCGGCCATCCAGACAGAGGACCGCCTTGGGCTTACTATGAAGTTCCTCCGAGCAGCCGAGGCGGGAGCTATGGGGGAGATATCGGTGTGTCTGCAACGTTACCCTCATATTGCCACCCTCGCGGAGAATCCGTACGAGGTCGGAGGCCAGCTCGAGCGCAGGCTCCGTCCAGTTCGGGATCACGCAGTGGCGCTCGCACGTGACCACGCCATGGAAGAATTGCGGCACGCCTCGGAAGCAGCCAAGTCTGGTGATCCCAGCCGGGCTGCTCAGGCCAAGGCGAAGTATAGCCGGCTGCTCTACCGCTTGGCCCCTGGGCGCGGCGGCGGCCTCAAGGCCATCCTGCTAAACAGCGGTGAGCACGCCACAGACCCGGCGGACATCGCGGCGGCTTTGAGGACCCATTGGGCCACTGTGTTTCGCGCCCGGGGCATTGACGAGGCCGTGCTGGCCGAGTGGCTTCGGGAAGACGCAGAGAACCGGGCTCTAGCCGAGGGCGACCCCGGGGTCTTGGTGGACAGTGGGCGCGCCCCCTCGCACCGGGGTCTCCGGCGGATTCGGCTTCGGCGGTCCCACGTGCGCCAAGCGATCCGCTGTTCTGGCAACTCGGCGCCAGGCCCCGACGGCATCCCGTACGAGGCGTGGCGGCGGCTCGGGGATCTGGCGGAAGAGGTGCTGTTCAAGGCGCTCCAGGAGTGCTGCGAGTCGGACGCCCAGGCTCGGCTACAAGAAGATTTGCCCGACTTCAATAGCAGACTGTTGATCTTTCTCCCGAAGGCCGCTGCCGGCCTCACGGAAGACGGCCAAGAGGCTTATGTGCCAACAGGCGTGAGGCCGTTGAACATCACTAACACGGACAGCAGGCTGTTGGCCAGCGCGGTGCGCATCGCGATAGAGCCCAGCCTCTCGGACCGCATCACATCTTCTCAGCGAGGGTTTCTGCCGGGCCGATCCATGCTCGCCAACTTGCTAGATGTCGACGAGGGCATGTTCGAGGCTGCCATGGCGGCGGAAGGGGCGCACGGCATATTCTTTGATTTTGCAGCTGCGTTCCCTTCCATCGAACACCGTCTACTACACGAGTTCTTCCACAGCCTTGGGTGGCCAGGGTGGCTCCTCAACTTCATCGGCAGCTTGTGCTGGAACAATTTCTGCCAGATCTCAGTGGGGGGCTCGCTCCACGCCGGCATGGACATCGCCCGGGGCATCCGCCAAGGCTGCCCCGTGTCGCCGCTTCTATTCGCAGCGGTCTCGGATCTGTACCTGCGGAGATTGGCGAGAGCGTTTCCTGACGCCCTCCTGAAGGCTTGGGCGGACGACCTGGCTATGGTGCTCCCGCGCGCCCTGCGGCGGCTCTTCGCTCTCTGGCAATTCTTCGAGGACTTCGCCATGGTCTCGGGCCTGCGGATGAACGTGCCGAAGACAGTATTTGTGCCACTCGACCAGTTCAACGAGCCCGAGATGCGAAATTCCTTGAGTCGAGCGGTCCCCGCATGGGGCGGAGCTGGCATCGCCGCCGCGGCCAAGTACCTGGGGTTCTACGTCGGCCCAGGGCGGGGCCAGCGCTCGTGGGAGAAGCCTCTCGGCAAATGCTTGGACCGCGCCCGCCAATGGGGGCAGGTCGGAGCGGGGGCTTTGCTGACCACGCAGGCCTATGCAGTGTACGTGGCATCCGTGCTGCAGTTCATCGCTCAGTTGGACCCGCTCCCTCCAGATTTCGCCGACTTCGAATGCCGCGCGTGCCGGGCCATGTTCAAAGGGCCAATGGGCTGGATGGCCCCTGGGTGTCTGAAGGATCTCAGGGCCCTCGGCTTGCCTTGGCAGCTCAAGGACTTGGAAGCCGCGGCGCTCGCGGCCAAAGCGCGGGTGGTCCGGTTCGAGGCCGGGGGTGCCCTCGGAGTGCGCCGCCGGGCCGCGCGGCTCCGCGCCTTGACGTGCCTCGCAAGGGAGCGATCAGTCGTTCGAGAGGCATGGCTGGATGCATGGCGGCCGCACCTCTTCCTCTTGCACCTCGACGACGCCGCCGATCGGGTCGCAGTTCTGCTTCGACGTGCACCAGCCGGCGAGCGCTGGCTGACGGAGCAGTCGGGCTGGCAGCGCCGGGTGGCCGATCTTGCTCGGGCGCCGGCCGGGCAGGGTGTCTTCCAG